GTAGCCCTGAGCTGAAGGGAATTGCTTTTCACAGCGGAGCTTTTAGGTTTATCAAATTTAAAAGCAAAAGTACCAAAAAAGCCCAAAATATTTTGACACATGGCTTAATGCATAGCTGTAGGGAGCGGAGAGCTCAATTTTTCTTCTGTGATAGTCTTGTTCTGAGTCTGAATTTGGAAAGTGTGTTTGCCATTAAGCATTGGAATGGACATTTTAAGGACTAGACTCATAAAAGGGCTCTAAATACATACAGGTCTATAATCAAACAACTGATACATTATAAATGTATTCAAAAGGAAGAGGTAGGTTAATCTGTTCTTTGTTATATCTCTGTGGTTTTTACAAAAACAGAGATACGATTCTCACACACACACACACACACACACACACACACACACACACACACACACACACAACATGTATGATTCCTTTGACATCTGACTGATTTCCAACATTCTATCGTTCTGACTCCTTCTGGTTTGCATTCAGACAAGTTTAAACCTAATGTGCCGACTGAACATCCTTAATGTGGATTAGCTATGCATGGTGGTGTCTGCCAGGAATCCTTCCCTCCCTAATGTGATATGACTGGAAGTGCTGCCGTGTGTGTGTGTGTGTGTGTGTGTGTGTGTGTGTGTGTGTGTGTGTGTGTGTGTGTGTGTGTGTGTGTGTGTGTGTGGTGTGTGTGTGTGTGTGTGTGTGTGTGTGTGTGTGTGTGGGTGTGGGTGTGGGTGTGTGTGTGTTTGCACAGATTTGACATTTAAACCATGCACTCTATTATATGGCTTTACTTTCTTTATGATCCATTGCCTAGAGATTATGAAAGACATGGAGCCTGACCTCTGTAAACTACATTTACAGAGAAGGACAGACTACCAACATGTATACCGCACATGTGAAAGCAGCCACTGGTGGAATCAATTACAAATAATGTGTGTGTGCTTTTAAATAAAGGTAGCAGTGGCCCTAGTAATGATGGAGGGACTCGGCTGTTTGTTTGATAATAATGCTGACTGTTCATGCTGAGAGTGCACTTCTGCTAATGAGTGATAGCCAAGGAGTGTAGACTCTAATGATTTACTTTAAAGTGACTGGTGATCCACAGTAACCCAGTGGTAATTTGTGAATGCCAGGATATTGATGGAGTTGAGCTAGTAAAGTGGAGTAGCACATCGGGTATATGGGTACACATTAGGTCTGTAATCCACTAAAGAAATTCTGAATCAACAAGTCGATGAGATAATGAAAACGATAGATATGTTAAACTCAAAAGAGAGTCAAGCAAAGCACCATTTTAAATGTTCTTTCTGAGGTGTACTCATAAGTTTCGCCAAAATAATTAATGCACTATTTAAAAACATTTTTAACAAGGTTATTCGACTGATTAAGAGCCAGGAGTCCTAACTCACTGAACCATATGAATGTATAAAGTACGTCTAAATGTTTGCATGAGCACTGAATAAATATCTTGTTTATGACAAAGGAAGTGAAATTTGTCAGATGAAATCCCGGCATATTTTCAGTAACATCTGTAGATTGATTTATTGTTTGCCTTCACAACCAAAACACACCTTTATATGTCTACAATAACAATGATTGATTGATTAAATGAACTTTAAGGGAGCTACTCAAATATGCTTTAGATGCCAGTCTTTGTGATCAGATCTAATTAAGAGTGCTGACTTACATTGAAATGAGAGTGAATCCAGGTGAATATAGCAACTGATGAAAATGCTAACAGTATAAGTACCATTGTCAGTCCTTGCTACGGTTTCCCAGACAGACCTGACCCTGAGCTACAGACTTCAGTGCCAAACTACAAATGATTTCAGTCTCTCATCTCGGTTGAGTGGGTGGCTGACAGTCACAGACTGATTTCCACAGTGATTGATGCTTGTGACAAAAGCTTGACAGATGGCAACATGCAACAAAACAATTGCTTTGTTTGTCTGTACAAGTCTATTTCGGTTTCAACGTCAAACAAAAGTCAAAGCCCCACTGCAGCCTTCAAATGTATGCCTCACAGGTATCAGAACATCATTTGAGGGCAATTTTCCCTCAAATATAGCATCAAAAGTGTTAACCTGTACCAAACCAAAGTGCTGCAGTCAGACATCAAAGACTGGCCATCGCAGCATCGCCATGTTTCTGTGTTAGCGTAGACGTTGCACTGCCAAAAAATATACCTTAAGGATATTGGTAATGTTTGTTTATTCCTATGGGGGGTACATATATTTTTTTTTAAAGCAAAAAATGCTTAAGAATCATATTCAGAATCTATATTTATTTTACCATCTATCAAATGTAATCATTTTTTGCAGCATTTTCTCATGAAACGGCTGAAGTAATTGTATTTTAAGATATTGGTATTAAATAAATAGTGAAATGTGTAATATATAACAGGATTTTTAATGTTGGTGTTCTCTTCACATCACTTTTTACAGCGTGTTGCAGTGGCCCATTGCAGTGTGAGTATATCAGTGTGACAGTGAAGCGCTACCTTTGAAGAAGCAGTCCTTGCTGTGCACCACGTAGATCCGCCTCCTCTCCAGGCAGGCGGTGCGGTAAACCTCGCAGTGGTTCTCGTAGAACCTGCCGTCTGAACCACACACCGGCACAAAGGAGGGCCGGCACTTTTCCTGGCAAACACACTCGGCACGGCCGGTGTCCGCCATCAGCACACACTGTCGACCCCGTCCACAGTAAGTCCTGCGACAGGGATCTCCATCTGGGTCAGAGAGGGCTGAAAGAGCGAGAGAGAAAAGGGAAAACAGCAAGAGTAAATGAGCAAGTCCATAAAATCTTAAAGACAGAGAAAGAAACTTTCTACATCAATAATGTTTTACTTGTTTATATCAAATAAAAATAACCACAAGTTGCACAATGACACACACTGTTATGGGCCAGTAAAAGAACAGACAAACAAATAAAGAATGGAATGAATATATTAATATTAATAATATGATTAACCTACTTTGCTATCCCATCCATCGGCAATTGTGATTATGTTTTCATATAAAATAAATAGAAGCTATGATCCAATCAGGAATATCATATCATTTTGAATAAGCACTCAAATAATAAACCTAACGATAAAACTGCAAACTAAAACCTCACATTTTCTGAAATATATTCTAGTTTGAGGAAAATGAAAGGCGGATTCAAACACATACTGCATTAGTTATGCGCAGTACAATATAACAAAAGTAACATATTAATTACCAGAAAGTAACAAGACCATTTGTAAGTGAAAGTATGACCCAGAAATAGCAAAAGCGTAAACTCAAGCCAAACACCTCTGGATCGCAATTACGCAGTACAGTGCTAACAAGGAGAAACTTTTGAAAAGAAAACTTTCACCTGACAAATCCAACAGCCAGGTGTCCTGATTAACACCTCTCGGCTCTCATTTGCACATACAGTACATGTGAACATCCGTGCAAAAACACACATAGATATGCATACTTGAGAGGTACACTCATGAGCGTAGGAAGCATCCTCAATGTGGGTGGGACTATTTGAAAGGGGGTGTGGGTGGGTGGTGGAACTCACCTCCTTTAGCTTGCCCCCCCGAGAAGATTTTGTTTTAAATGTTGAAGTTAAAAGCATCAATCTGCTGCACTTTGAGAGCAAAATTAGGAGATTTAAACTGTCATGTTGTGTTACTGTACTATAGTATGAGTTGGATTTATTTCATATTCTCTTATTTTTGATAACTATAATGATCATATAAAGGTGTGCCTTGGAAATGCTTTTTTACATAAATGATGACCAAACCGTTTGAGACCCACTACTTAGACTAAAGTGAACTAGGGATGGGCAAATGGCGGCCCGCGGGCCGCATGCGGCCCCCACCTCCTCTTTTTGCGGCCCTCAGATTAATTTATAAACAACTTAATTAATAAAATGTAGTACTGATACCGTCCACTGTGATTGGATGTGGGAATGGCAGTGCGACAAGGTTACGAGCGTCACAGCTCTATGAAATGGAATGGAACCACGGCAGCCTTTCCAAAACTGGAATTGGACGGGTCCAGCTCCCGGCTCCAGCCCCCCCCCCCCCCCCCAGAACTACACATGCTGGCTATTGTGTGTTTTGCAACATGTTCTATGGCACGTCTCTTTATAAGACGTTTTCGTATTTCCCACAATTAGAAGTTGCCAGTATTAAACTGTGTACACCCTGGAGGTTTAGGGGATACGAAACACAGTGGTGTTGTCAAATTTAAAACATATAATGAATAAATGGGTGAATTAATATACCCACATGACACCTAAGGTCAGAAGAGCTTTATTTAACAGCTGGTCTTATGTCTGTGACCCCGCCTGTTGTTCATTGATAAGCCTGAAACATGCACTTGTCAAGGTTCAGAGTTACATTTCGCAAATATGGCAGTAGCCATCGATCATCTTAAGATAAGATAAGATATACTTTATTGATCCCAAGTTGGGAAATGTTTTTGTTACAGCAGTATACTACTTTGTTCTACTCCACTACAATTCAGAGGTTAACCTGGTATTTTTACTCCACTACATGTATTTTAGTTACTTTGCAGATTCTGATGTGAAATATAAACAACACTTAAATCAGACTTTAGTTATACCTGAGTCAAATTCAGGGAAGGTGATTGTCAAGTGCCAAAATAAACTATGCATTATATTGGACGTTAAGTATTTTGTCAGACTTCATATTTATCTGTGGATAACCCCAACGTGTTTTTCTTATTCAAAAGAAGACATTAACTTAAAGTATTCTTTAATGTTTAAATAAAGCCTTATTAGTTTGTCTGTTTTGCACTTCCTCCTGTTAATATCTTTGGACGTCCTGCACTAAACTGTTTTATTGTAGAGATCACTACAGTATCTTCTTGATATTTGATATTCTATATGTATATCATGCCCATACTTGTCAACCCTCCCGATTTTCGCGGGAGACTCCCGATTTCATTGCCCTCTCCCGGTTTCCTCCCCGGGGTCATATTTCTCCCACATTTCTCCCGATTTCTGACAAAATCTGATTTACTCAGGACTGTTTCCACTCGGATTTTAATACAGCTATACCATTGTTTGGTTTCCATGGTAACACGTCTCTTTAGTAGCGCGCAACTGAAAGTCTGAGAGGGTGAGGCAGATAGTCACAGAAAACAGAACAAGAATCGACGAATACTCTACTCTCTGCTCACTCCTTTCCTGCCCACACATATGCTCCGGCGATCCACTAGCACCCCCCACTTTTTGCTTTCTGGGGGAGTCCGAAAACCAGTCAGTATCTGGTGTGAGGGGTAGGGGTAGGGTTAGGGTTAGGGTAATGTTGTGAATCGAGTGGCCTATGTTCGTCGTCCATAACATACGCCTGCCCATACCATAACCCCACCACCACCATGGGCCACTCGATTCACAACATTAGGCAAGGCAAGGCAAGGCAAGTTTATTTATACAGCACTTTTCAACACAAGGCAATTCAAAGTGCTTTACAAAAAATGAAAGAGATTAAGAAAATGGCATTTAAAATCAGTCATTAAAAAGAAAAGCTAATAAAATAAACATTAAAAGAAAAAAATACATGGATAAAAGTTACAGTGCAATTAAACATTAAAAGAAAAAAGTACATGGATAAAAGTTACAGTGCAGTCTAAGATATGAATAGTTCAATTAAAAGCAGCGACAAAAAGAAAAGTCTTCAGCCTGGATTTAAAAGTAGTAAGAGTTGCAGCGGACCTGCAGGTTTCTGGGAGTTTGTTCCAGATATTTGGAGCATAATAACTGAACGCTGCTTTACCATGTTTAGTTCTGACTCTGGGGACAGAAAGCTGACCAGTCCCTGAAGACCTGAGAGATCTGGATGGTTCATAATTTAGCAGGAGGTCAGAAATGTATTTTGGGCCTAAACCATTCAGTGCTTTATAAACCAGCAGCAGTATTTTGAAATCTATTCTTTGACACACAGGAAGCCAGTGTAAAGACTTCAGAACTGGAGTGATGTGATCCACTTTCTTAGTGTTAGTGAGGACTCGAGCAGCAGCGTTCTGAATTAGCTGCAGCTTCCTAATAGATTTTTTAGTGAGACCTGTGAAGACACCATTGCAGTAGTCGAGTCTACTGAAGATAAAAGCATGGACAAGTTTTTCCAAATCCTGCTGTGACATTAGTCTTTTAATCCTAGATATATTCTTTAGGTGATAGTAGACTGATTTATTAACAGTTTTAATGTGACTGTTAAAACTCAGGTCAGAGTCCATGACTACACCTAGATTTCTGGCTTTATCTGTTGTTTTGAACATTGCACACTGAAGCTCAGCGCTAACTTTTATACGTTCTGCCTTGGCTCCAAAAACCATTACCTCAGTTTTATCTTTGTTTAATTGGAGAAAGTTCTGACACATCCAGTCATTGATTTGTTCAATGCACTTACTCAGTGTTTGAATTGGAGCATAGTCTCCTGGTGAAATTGTTACGTACATGTGTGTGTCATCTGCATAGCTATGGTAACTTATTTTGTTGTTCTTCATTATCTGAGCCAGTGGTAGCATGTAGATGTTAAAGAGAAGAGGCCCCAAGATGGAGCCTTGAGGAACCCCACATGTCATATTTGTCAACTCAGATGTGTATTTACCTATAGAAACAAAGTTGTTTCTGTCCTTTAAGTAGGATTCAAACCAATTCAGAACTGTTTCCGAAAGTCCCACCCAGTTCTCCAGTCGGTCTAGTAATATGCTGTGGTCAACAGTGTCAAACGCAGCACTGAAATCTAATAATACTAACACTGAAGTTCTGCCACTGTCTGTGTTTAAGTGGATGTCATTAAAGACCTTTACAAGAGCAGTCTCAGTGCTGTGGTTTGGACGAAAGCCTGACTGGAACACATCAAAACAGTTATTTAAATGCAAGAAATGACTCAACTGTTGAAAAACAACTTTTTCAATGATTTTACCTAGAAATGGGAGGTTTGATATGGGCCTGTAATTGTTCATTACTGAAGCATCTAGATTATTCTTTTTTAAGAGCGGTTTAATGACTGCAGTTTTCAGGGCCTGTGGAAAAAATACCTGAGTGAAGAGATTTGTTTACTATATGAAGTAGATCTGAGGCCATGCAAGGCAAAACATCTTTGAAAAATCCTGTTGGAATAATATCAAGGCAGCAGGAGGAGGATTTCAGAAGTTGAATAATGTCCTCTAGGTTTTTATCATTAATCTGATGGAATTGTGTCATGATGTCTGAATTGATGTTAAGTGGAGATAGGGACAACACATTTGCTGTTCCTGATGCAGAGGCACTGACTGCTTGTCTGATTTTCTGAATTTTGTCAGTGAAGAAGGAGGCAAAATCATTGCACGCCCTGGTGGATAGAAATTCAGAGGCTACTGACACTGGGGGGTTAGTTAGTCTGTCGACGGTAGCAAACAAGGCACGTGCGTTGTTTTTGGTAATGATGTCAGAGAAGAACGATTGTCGTGCGTTTTTCAATTCCAAATTATAAAGGCCAAGTCTCTCTTTATAGATTTCAAAGTGAACCTGGAGATTTGTTTTTCGCCACCTGCGTTCAGCTTTTCGACATTCTCTTTTTTCTGTCTTCACGGTCATGGCCTTTCTCCATGGAGATATTTTCTTGCCAGACACTTCCTTTACCTTAGTTGGAGCAATGGCATCTATAACATTTTTAATTTTTGAATTAAAATGATCTACTAGCTCATTTACTGAGATGTTAGCAGGGGCAAGTGTGGAAGAGAAATTCTGAGTAAA